GTTCCACCCACCCAAGTTCATTTAAAGGTAGAGAAAATGAAAAAAGGGGAGAGACGTTTTTTGGCGATACAGGAGCTGACATTAATTTAGTGAGATCCGATAAATGAAATCCGCACACAAAAATTGATAGCTCGGAGATAATTATCGTTGGAGGGCTTACACTAGGGAAAATTGAAACTAGAGGGCATGTGACACTTAACGTAGAGGGGGTAGAAGACAAATTTCATGTCGTGGACTCCATCTTCCCCCTTTTAGAAGATGGATTAATTAGAAGGCCATTCCTAAAAAGCAGGGCAGTCAGAATTGACTGTGGAGAAGATTCACTCATGATAGGGGACAAGGTACACACGTTTATAAATACGAAGTCAATATTGTTTCTGCCTAGAACAGTGAAGTTAGTCTATGTTAGGATTCACAAATTTGACCCCCAAGTCGGGTACATTCCACGCCGAGACATAAAGCCGGGGGTGTATTTCGGCGAGACCATTGTAGAGCCGAAAGGGGGAGTAGCGTACATGTACGCATGTGACACAAAATTTAAAGTTCCGTTAAATGAGCTTGAGAAAATCGAAGGTGTTGCTACGGAAAAGGAAATTAAAGCGTTTGGAATGTCGACGGAGTCAAACAACGCGGACACAGCGTTTAGAGAGGGCCGAGAAGGTTTTTGAGTGCCTACGATTGGAAAGATTAGATGAGGAAGAGCAGAAAGAAGCCAAAGATCTCGTGAGTTCTAACCCTTGGGTATATAAGCTAGATGGAGAAAAACACCAAGAAGCTAGAATACCTGGATATAAGTTGAAAATGAAAGACGACGACCCAATGGTAGTGAGGCAATTCCGTCTGCCTTTTCATAATAGAGGGCAAGCCAACGAGCAAGTGGAGACAATGCTCGAAAATGGTATTATCGAGCCCTCTGATTGACCGTACAACGCCCCGGCCTGGATGGTACCGAAGAAACCAGGGCCCGACGGAGAAAAGCCTTGGCGGATGGTGATCGATTTTCGACGGCTCAATGAAAAATTGATCGCGGACGCATACCCCTTACCGAATATTATGGATATTCTAGACCAGCTAGGGGTCGCAAGGTATTTTTCCACTTTCGATTTGGTGTCAGGTTTTCACCAAATTCCTGTGGACAAGGAAAGTCGCCCAAAAATGGCATTTTCTACCCCCAAAGGACATTTCCATTACACTCGGATACCGATGGGAATCGCAAACGGACCGCCAACATTCCAAAGGTCTATGGACGTTGTCCTATCGGAACTATAGGGTGCGGGTCTGTTTGTATACATGGACGACATCGTCGTGTACGGAAACGCGATATGGGAACATCGGGAGGGATATAAACAATTCGTCGATCGACTCCACAACGTACACATGAGCTTGAGCCCCGAGAAATGCGAATTTCTGAGCGAAGAGGTCACATTTTTGGGACATGGCATCAGTGAAAAGGGGATAAAGCCCAGCCCCAAAACAATTGACCCCATATTAAAGTATCCGACGCCTAAGAACGTGAAGGGAATCCGCCAATTTCGCGGTTTGGCGGGATACTCTCGCCGTTTTATTGACAATTTCACAACAAAAGCTCAGCCCCTCACAGAGCTATTAAAAGATGAAGCTCCTTTTATTGGGGGGGAAAGACAAAAAAAGGCTTTTCATGGCATCATCAAGAAAATTACATCGTACCCGATTTTGAGACACCCGGATTTCGAACGACCGTTTCTCGTCACCACCGATGCATCGGATTTCGCGGTAGGCGTTATCTTAAGCCAAGGAGAGATAGGCAAAGATTTACTCATCTGCTATGCGTCCAGGGTGATGATAAAGCCGGAGAAAAATTATACAACGACGAAAAAAGAATTGTTGGCCATAATATTTGCAGTCGGACAATTTCGTCCGTATATATACGGTAGAAAATTCACCTTCATAACTGATCATCAACCACTGGTCTGGCTGAGATCTACGAATGATCCAGGGGCGCAGTTGCGGCGGTGGGCAAATGAGCTAGAAAAATATGATTATGACATTAAGTATAAACCGGAGAAAATGAATCTCAATGCCGACGCCTTGTCCTGTAACCATATACTGGACGAGGGGGATGAAGAGGCTCGGAAGCGAAATATCGCCGTGATCAGCAAGATAAATCCACAAATACCAGATGTGAAAGTCGGAGACACAATATGGTATATCACCATACCATGTGGGGAAAGCATAGGCCCATGCGTTGTCGAAGCAATGTGGCCCGATAATAAATTGCAAGTCATGCGAGGAGTGAAACCTGACATTGCCCCGGGAGAATCTATTATATCGGTAACCGCACCCCCGCCCGATTGGGAACCAACTGCGCTGGCGGTCGACCCGTCGACGAATGATTTAGAAATGGATGTCGGCGATCTGATATGGCATAAAATTTGTCCGCCATATCGGACAGTGGGACCGCACCTCATCACCGCAGTTCTATCCCCAGACGTAGTTGAAATAAAGACGGGATCCGCCTACACCCAATTGCCAAAATGCCGAGTGGTGTCGGTAGATCAGGAACCACAGGAGATTGCACCAGGAAATTCAGACAAGGAAAAGCATGCCGACCCCGAGATAACCCCTGGAGATATTCCGACGGTAGCCAAAATATTCAGCAGACGTCATAGTCGAAAAGGAAGCGCGGGCGTCCCCGAAAAGTGCCCCTCAAAGAGAGAGATGCTAATTTGAGTGTCCAGCAGGAACTGCAGCTGAAAAAGAAGTTCGGACGACCCTGAAAAACGCCTATTTATGAGATACCGGAAGAACAAATAGAACCGGTACCCAAAAGGCTAAGGAGGAATGCACCCGCCCCATTGCTGCTTGATGATGCAGAATCCGGAAGCGAGGCTAGCGGAAGCTTGTACGAACCCATCGAAGAATTGGCGCTTTTGTTAGACGAGGAGAAAATTTTCCAGGAAGGCCCAACGGTGACAGGAACATCAGTTGATATGGCCGATGATTCAGCGTAAAACGAAGACAAGGAGGGATACGAAATCAACGACCAGCACGGCGACCCAACGGATGACGTCAACTCTGATGTATGGGAGCTGCCGACCGACTCTTATAATAGCGAGGTGGAAGATTCCCCTCCCCGTGACGGGGACACACCGGAGTATCAGTTTTCCGAAGAGGAAGGTGACGACAATGTAGAGTACTCTTGAACCCATTTGACCGAGGAAAAAGACAATTTTTTTTATCAACAACAGGAGAATTAGAGAACGCCTATCTGAGAGTGCTAGCTGAAAAAGATTGGATTCACCAGGAACAGCTGACGGCCACGGCCCATCAAATCGGGGATGTTATCAAGTTGGAAAAAGCCGGAAAAATCGGATTTGGACTGGGCATTAAGGATGACGCAGAGGCGGAAGTCCTAGAAGACAATACAAGACTAGCTCTCGAAGCGCTCATGGAACTATTGGCTACCGAAAACCTCGAGACAATAAGAATGGTCCACAACAGCGACTCCCTGACAGAAAGATCGCGAAGATCGATTCGAGTCCGGTTGAGAGAGAAGCTGCGTGGAAGTAATCAACGAGTAATATTATGCGCGAGAGTACTCGACGTGCCCGCAACTGAAGATCGCCTAACAATCGTGAAAGAAAAACATGCTTTCGCGATAGGAGGACACAAGGGCATAACGAAAAGTTTGCATGCAGTAGCCCTCCAGTACTACTGGAAGAATATGGCCCAAACAGTTAGGGATTACGTAAATCTCTGCCAGACATGCCAGCGGAAAAAACTTGCAAGAGAAAGGGCTCGACATCCGATGATTATTATGGATACCGTCATAGACGCATTCGAAAAGGTGTCCATGGATATCTATGAACCCTCGGGGAGTAGCGATAGAGGGCATGTTTACTTGCTGACAATCCAAGATTGCTTAACCAAATATGCCCTTGCCGTTCCGCTAAAACCTCAAACGGCGGAAGACGTGGCCCGCGCCCTTACCCGGAGACCAATCTGTACCTTTGGCGTGCCCCAAGCCGTTTTATGAGATCGAGGAACGAACTTTACAAACGCGATTTTGCAGGTTATTCCGCATTCATCAATGCCTCACGAACGCATATCATCCACAATCCAATGGATCCTTGGAACGTAGTCATCACGTGTTGACTGTGTTCCTGAGAACCCAAATCGGAGACAGCGGGAATTGGGATAGATGGATTGACATGGCAATGTTCGCGTATAACACTAGTATACACGAGAGCACGGGATGCACGCCTCACGAGCTGGTCTTCGGAGTAAAGCCGCGAGTATCGTCACCCAAATCGCTCGAGGGGTTAGGGGATAGGCCAACTAACGGACGGACTGAAAAGGGTGCGGGACAAAGCCCAGATAAAGCTCATAAACTCTAAGTGTAAATCGGAAAAATATTATGATAAAAAGGTTAAAATGATACCTTTCGCGATAGGGGACCATATCTGGCTTCTGAAAGAACCGAAAGCCGGGAAGAGGGACGATGACTGGAAAGGACCATACCGTATTCTCAAAATGATGGCAAATAACAACGTGAGAATACAGGCGAATAAAGGGCCGAGAGTGGTACACCGGGATAAGCTGAAAAAAGCTCGAAACCGCGAGGCGGAACGGCCGCCAGAAAATCAGGGTTAACCCCCGGGTGGTTGAACCCCCCGCCCCGGCGGGCGTTTTTGGTCGCGCGTTAAGCGCAACGCTGTCGCGCGTACTTTACAATTTCATGATTTTGGCGAGTCGAGTTATCAAAAGATTATAATAATTCAATGGCGCAAGTATGAAAAAAACAGAACAAATTTTTTTTCCAATTCATTCGACATAATTGAAAGTAGGTGGTAGGTTACTCAAAATTTTTCTGAATTTTTCACTCCCGAAGTTTTGTGTGAAAAGCAAAAAAAAACAAATGAAAAAAATCAACGGCGCTGAGTTCATGGCTCGACCACTGGAGGGTCAATAAAGGGAAATGAAGGGAAATAGAAGAAGAAAAGGGGTGATGACCAGGAAAATATTTGATAGATAATATTATTGGTAGAAGAGAAAAATACAAAAAAAAAATTATATTAGAAATCAAACAGGAACTCGAAGAATGGCACTAGAATCCCCAGCCGACGAAAGTCACTCACTCTGAAAAAAGAAAAAAGGGGAGATCGTTAATAAAACAACACCTCAAAAAGAAAAAATATATGGGGTATTCCAGGTGAAATAAATGAGGGCAAAACCCTCACCTAATTCTACATGCGCGATATTTTTTTCTCGAAATATATTCATCTCAAAATGACCACTGATTTTTTTAATGATGTTTTGGTACATGATCTCAGCAGTTATGATTTTTTTCCTTATTTTCGTTTGAAATGACATAACTCAAAAATGAAGCGATTGAGATGTTTTTTTTAAAACGTGTGCTTTTAATCGAGTTTTTCATTCCATAATACGAATATTTTTTTTATGCCTCATTACACGGAAAATTTGGGAAAAATCCACTAAAATTCATGGATTTTCAAGTTCGACCCGTTTTAAAATTCTAAAAAAAATTGAGTCCATTTGAAATGATGAAAAACGAGGAAATACCAAAGGGGAAAATGGGGCTCCAATTATATATCATATTTCCGGTCATTTTCTAAATAAAAAGTCATTATTTTTAGTTTCAACATATTTTCAAATTTCCGCGCGAAAAAATTCCATAATCTCAATTTTTTTCTCGCTCATCAGATGGCGCTTACTATGGCTATGTCCAAAGCGAATGAGCCTAAATATTCGCAAGTAGCGTGTTTGTAAATTATTCTGTGATTTTGGCGTTCACGTTGACATTGTCATTTTCACAATAGTGCTTTGAAATCGATCAATAGTTGTGATACCTTGAAAAGATTAAAATAAAACTACAGTATGGCTCCGCAAAAGCCTTTCATTCATCGATGTTGCAATCCATTTGGATTAATAAATCATAAAATAACCAAAGACTTACGAAAAATCACAGAAACAGTTCAGCGAAGATGGAGGTTAGCAATCGGTGCAATCAATGTCGCAAAAATTTTGCTAACGGTAGTGAGCCTACTTTTGAGGCATCAACAGAACAACTAAGTGAAGAATCTGACGCGACCAAGGAATCTAACAATATTTTTACTGCAGAATAAGACCCAACGGAGTTGAACAATGTTATTGATCCCGAGTTTATGGATTCACAGCCTTCAGATGGAAGCGACTTGAGTAAGTTCACTGAACTTTTTCCTCATGGGAATGCAATTTCATTTCTTTGCATGAATTTTTGTCTCCCGCTCCCTGCTCTAGTCATTTATTATCTCAGCAATCCAACACTTCAGAGTTGGGAATTGATGTTCGATTGCCAGTCATTAACCATTACCTGCTGAATGTGTCTCCACTTTACCTCAAACAACTCAAAAGTAACCAATCGATAGATAAAACAAGCAGGGGTTCGAGCCTATCCGGCAGAAGGCATGCGACCATTACTTTTTGTCTTATTAATATTTTTCTTTCTTATATTTCTATCAATTCCATTGGTAGTAAGCTTCCGAATGGATCCGTATCAATTTCCTATTCCTAAGACAGACATACATACACAACGAAATTCATTCCGTTTTTACGAAACCATCAAACCTTTGTCTTTAATTACACTGCGTAATCTGCCATAGGTATTGGTTTATTGTGGTATTTTACTCACCCCTATCATAATTTTCGAACTGCATTGATGAATAACCGCATTTACCGAAGGGAGGGAAACCTCATTCGAGGGAAAAACCTGCCCTGGTACAGTCGTCCTTTTGACGGGACTACCGCTCGGTAATGAAACTGTGAGATTAGAGCGCTATAAATTTTGACCGCCGGTGCCGGGAAGCGAACCCGGATCATTGGCATACGAGTCTAGCACTCTAACCGCACGGCCACTACCGTCGGTTGCACATTGATGAATAACTCATTATTTGAAAGTCGTAAACCGTTGAAATAAAATTCTATCTAAAATGAATTTATACAAAAAATTTAAGATCTCCAAAACCACTCTAGCGATTGCGCCCATACAAAATAACAACCTTCAGTATCGTAAGAGCTATAACCATACCAAATTTCAACTTGCTATCCGCAGTTTTTCTCAAGTTATCGGGTCTTCAAGACTAAAAAAATAAGATATCCACAATGTCACAGAGAAAGAACTGTCCTATGCTTCAAAATGCATGCCATCATCCAATTTTTGAAATAATTTAACCATATTATCTAACTCCTAGTCCATGGGATAGGCATCTATTCTGTAGGGTGTTCAGGAGAAGATATTTAACCTTTTGATAAAACGGATTTATACAAAAAATTAATGTCTTTCAAATCGCTGGGCCGATTGCGCCCATTCAAAATAAGGACCCTTAATATTATGAGAGATATAATCATACCAAATTTCAACTTGCTATCTTCTTTTTGTCTCAAGTTATTGTGCGCAAAGAAATGAAAAACAAGACGAATATTAAAAAAAAAAAGTCCAATCGGTTACGTCGTTTTAAAGTTATTGCATATGATAGATTTTCAGAAAAAGTTGAATATCTCCGGAACTACTGATGCGATTGAGCCCATCTTCAATACCAACCGTTGTTATCATGAGAGGAAGATACTGTCTAAATTTCAAGTTGATATCTAACCACCACCGGGAAGGCGGCAGTGGACGTGTTCACATACAGACATGGTCGTCAAACTTCGTATTTTTCCGTTTCAGACCATTCTACATCATTTCCAAGCAAAATTGGAGAATCGAAAAATCGACCGATTGCAAAGCTTCCATTCGGAAGCAAAAACAGGATGTACTGAATCGATTGACACAAAATTTTATACATGAATGTGGGCCAATCATGCAAACTAGTAGCCAGAATCTCAGATGTTTAGTCCATTGTTTAACGCGGATTGTAGAGCCCACATTGGATTTTAATTTAAAAAACTAGAAAAACGCTGATATCTCGAAAACTTTGTATGGGAGGGTATGCATATTTTGATTGATCTTGATAAAAGATACCATGACGAATATTTTGAAAAAAAAAGTCAATCGGACCAGTAGTTTCGGAGACATTAAGCATTACAGTTTTTCACAAAAAGTGAAATATCTCCTAAACTACTCATCCGATTCAGCTCATCCATAATCCCATCCTGTAATATCATAAAGCCTATAATCCTACCACATTTCAACTTTCTATCTTAATTTTTCAAGGCGCCATCGTGCGTACAACGATTTTTACATAAAAATGAAAAATGCCAATTATTACCAAACAGTCGATAGTTACATAGCTATATTATGATTTGATCCAATAGATATCATGACAAAGAAGATTTTGGCATAAAAAAAATTCAAATCGGTCATGTAGTTTTTGAGATATTGAAGCACAAAGATTTTTGAGAAATTGTTGTATCTCAGAAACTACTAGGTCGATTGAGCTGAAACTGCGCCCAGAAATGCTCCAAAGTAATACCAATTAAGTGACAAAATTTCAGATTTTTAGCTTCAACTTTAGTCCTTTATTTGTCGTGATTTATAAAAAATTTCGAAAAAATCGACCCACACTTTCGGACACATACATACATGGTCCTCAAATTTTGTATTTTCACGTTTCAGACCATTCTACATCATTTCCAAGCAAAATTAGCGAATCGAAAAATCGATCGATTACAATGCTTCCATTCGGAAGCAAAAATTGAAAAAATCTGAATTAATTTAAAGCAACAGTTGACAGGCTCTTGTTTCAATCTTTTTGAAACTCACAGTGATATAATTGATTTTCAAATGATGGTAAATAGTTACAAGAACAAATTTCATGAGGAAGGCACCCTTAAATCACAAAAATCAACTTCTGACTCTATTACCTTTACATTGGAGCGTGCAAAGAGTTTCGGAAACTATGGATGTTCCGGAGTCCATGGTAATCAAATCAAAAGCATTGGTGAAAGCGAAAGGGATTCTATCAAGCTCGGACTCGAGACTAGGTTGGTTATTTTATTCGATGGCTCTTTGTTTAATGTTTCACTCTAAATTTCTTTCATGTTTTTCTGTAATTTCCTAGGGCACAAATCACCTGAGGAAATCACGACTAAAGTATTGGGCTTTTACAACGATGACAGATTCAGCAGTGTTATGCCAGGGAAAAAAGATTGCGTATCTACAAAAACTAGCAATGGTCTCAAAATCTACCATCAAAAACGGTTAATTCTTTGTAATTTGAAAGAGTTATTCCAATTCTTTCAAGATCACAATCCAAATGATAAAATTGGGTTTTCATCATTCGCAATGTTACGTCCGAAGCATTGTGTTCTTGCCGGTTCAAGTGGAACACAAAAGCTGTGTATTTGCGCAATGCACCAAAATATCAAACTATTGATGCTTGATATGTTATCAATTAATAATTTCTATGAAGCTAGAATAGTTGTGCATGAAGGTATTACTCTCTATCTACTTTGTTCAATGTCTATAGGTTCGAACTTGAAAACTTCGACAAGTGACACACGTTATCCATTGAACCATTACAGTAATTGCATTGACTTCATGATGTGTTACGACGCAACTCCTGAGTGTTATTTAAGAACATGTGAACATTGTTCAAGTTTCGAAACGTTACACTCCTTCATCAAAAACACACTGGTAGAGAATGATATTGACACAATTGTGTGGAAGCAGTGGGTTTCGAAGCCTCGTAGCTCGTTAGTAACTGTGACGCAAGATGTTGACGAATTCATTGATGATTTTTGTGAAAAGATGATTGCACTTTTACCTCACACATTTATCGCAAAAGAGCAAGGTAATTACGTTAAGGAGTTGAGAGAATCATTGGGGGATGGAGAATTTTTGGTCATTTGTGATTTCGCAGAAAATTATGCATTTGTTGTACAAGACGCCGCTCCGGGTCACCATTGGAACAATGACGTGGCAACTATTTATACTATTATCATTTATTATAAAGAGAGATCAAACGTTGTTCATAAAAGTCTTGCAATAATTTCCAATCATTTGCTCCATGATGCAGTAGCAGTTCACGTGAATACCAAGAAACTCATTCAGTTCACAAAATTATTAAATCCAAATCCAGTAGAGATCTATTACTTCTCAGATGGGGCTCCCACTCAGTTCAAAAACTTCAAGAATTTTATCAACATTTCTTATCATAAAGAGGATTACGGTGTTGATGCCGAATGGCATTTTTTTGTCACTGCTCACGGTAAGGGACCGTGTGAAGGCGATGATGGAGCTTTGAAAGGGGCTGCCGCTCGAGTTAGCCTTCAACTTCCTCTCGATAATCAAATCACAAGACCATATGAACTTTATGAATGAGCTTCAAGACATTTACCCATCTCAACGCTGAATATATTCCTAAAGAGGAATATGAACAAGCTATCGATGATTTGAGAAGTCATTTCTTGAGTGCTAGGCCACTACCTGGAACCCACAAGTACCACTGTGTCATTCCAAAGGAATTGGGAATTTTGAATGTGAAATTATTTTCACGAAGTGATAAAATCAAATCATTTGCTGATATCCATCGATAGGTGTGTGAAGCGGCATTTCATTGTAATATCTGAACTCGTTTAATTAAAAAAATAAAATAGTCTTTTTCTCATACTGAACATAGAGAAACATTTTATTTTCCCTTCATATAATTATTTAGTCCCTGAAAACCTGAAAAATCGACTTCCATACGGAAAAGGACCGAAACTATGATATATAATTGGAGGCCCATTTTTCCCTTTGGTATTTCCTCGTTTTTCATTATTTCAAATGTACTCAATTTTTTTGAGAATTTTAAATTGGGTCGAACTTGAAAAACCATCAATTTTAGTAGGTTTTTTTCCAAATTTTCCATGTAATGAGGCATAAAAAAATATTCCTGTTATGGAATGAAAAACTCAATTAAAAACACACGTTTAAAAAAAAACATCCAAATCGCTTCATATTTGAGTGAGTTATGTCATTTGAAACGAAAATAAGGAAAACAATCATAACTGCTGAGATCATGCACCAAAAAATCTTGAAAAAAATCAGTGGTCATTTTGAGATGAATGTATTTCGAGAAAAAAATATCGCATATGTAGAATTAGGCGAGGGTTTTGCCCTAATTTATTTCACTTGCAATACCCCATATATAACCAATATATACACACCACAAGAGGTAGGACGGTGGAGGAATCCGATCATCCGCGTCGGACATAGGGGAAGAAGACTCGCTGGAGCGGGGACGGACAGACCAGGGCTTCCTAGAGAGAGCGGTATTTGGAAAAAATCCCACCCCGGCTGCCCGGCGTTCCCTCTAGGATCTGCGACAGCCCCTACGAGACATACCCACCCCTGGGGCTTCACCCAGGACGAAGGGGGCAGATGAGGCAACTCGACGAGGTCCACCCGACCTCCGGGCGATCCCACCTCTTCGAGGAGCGGCCACTGCCTCTCGCAAGAAGGGCCCGAATCGTCCACTCAACATCCGCGCGACCCCGCCTCTTCGCGGAAGGGTTACTACCTCTCGCAAGGAGAGCCCAAATCGCCGACCTTTCCTGCGGGCGAATCCACCTCGAGGGGGGGAGGCACTGCTTCATGCGAAGATGGGTCAGAAGCGATACCTTCATCCTCAGGACCAGACGAAATGTCCCAAAGCTCGATCTGAGGCTCGGGAAGCCCTACCTCCTCCTCAGGGGGTTCAAGGTCTCCCTCAGCAATCTCCCTCTCGTTCTGAGTTCTAACAATCTCCTTTTCCTGGAGCAGGCAAACAATTTTGATGGCCAGGGATGTTGCAGTAGGGGGGCATTTTGTCAGAAAGGTTTAGAAGCAAAAGGTGAAGCTCGTGGCGAGGGATGTCGGGTCCATCTAGGAAAAAACAGAAAATTAGTAAACCAGAAAATAAAGGGAAAGACGGGGAGGGAAAAAAAACACCCAAAACTTACGGTGACCACCCGGGGAATGAGACTCAGGGGAGTGCAGCCTCGGAAGAGCACGAAATCCAATGGAGGAAGACGTCTGAAACACACAGAGAAAATATAGTTTTGCTAGGGGAACGTAATAAACATTCATACGAATTTAAGGCATTTCGTCTGTATATCATGGTGGAGGTGAAACATAAAAGGAGTACCACGGGTGGATGGGGGGGGAGGTTTAGGGGTGTAGGAATCGAGGTTGTTGAGGGATGTAACGATTCACTAACAAATGCGATAGTTATAAAACAATCACAGTATATTTACAAGACATAGACTATATACAAAAAGTGAAAATAGATAATGTAAGGAGTAGGTGTTCACTCTTGAGTATTCGGCGGTCGGTGCCGGACTGAATATAATATTCGCAAAAGGCGAGAATTCGGATACGAATACAATAGGCGCGAGTGAGAAGTATACATTAGACGGTTGAGTGACAGAGCGATGATGTCACTGATGTCCAGTCGTCTCAACTGCATGCGTTGTTATGTCCGTGTATTGACACGTGAGTGTGGATGTAGCGAGGCGCTACAAGGGGGGAGTGTTGGGGGGGGGGGCTAGCGGTAAACGTGTACAACGCCCCCCTCACATCTAAATCAATTATTTTCACAGTAAATTCGATATATTTACTTTCATCATCACAAACTCAAACTAAATAGGTGCCGAAATGATTAAAAACAAAAACATAAAATCAACATATTTTTACAATATCAATTAATTATTATTAGCCTCTTCCAGGACAAAGTAATTAAATTTCTAATGAACAAAGGAGTATTGAGATCCCCTAATTATTGTAATAATTGTGGTGAACCAATACTATATAATTCTGAAGCTCTATTATGGAGATGTAGAAACATATCAGAAAAACAGAAAAGGTAAACAAGTCAGGACAGTGTGACAGACAACTAAGTGTCCTCACTGGATCTTGGTTTGCGAACACTAAAATCAAGATTAACATATTATTCAGACTCATAATAAATTACATAATTGCAGATAAAATCACAATAAAGAATTTACAAATAGAGCATAAACTATCAAACAACACCACGTGGTTATGGATCAACAGAAAGAATTTAATTCTGAAAGCATGGTACAATATCGAGACGAGTAAGAAGTTGAGGGGGGGGGGTAGGCAAAGTGGTCGAGGTAGATGAGACTCGGATAGGTGGGAGAAAGTACAATAGAGGTAAGAAGACCAAAGGCCAGTGGCTGTTTGGCATTTACGACAGAGAGACTAAACGAATTTTCGTTACACCACTTCCAAAACGGAAAGGTAACACTCTCCAACTACAGATAGTGAAACACGTCGAACCCGGCAGTACAGTCTACTCAGATGGGTGGGCCGGCTAAAAAGGCTTTTCTATTCGTGGTTTCATCCACAGACGAGTTAATCATAAATATCAGTTTGTCAACTCTCACGACAAGAACATCCACGTGCAGAACATCGAGCGTGTTTGGAGGGATCTCAAGTCGTACTTACCGAAATATGGAGTCGGATTGGTGAGGATAAGGGAGAAGATAAGTAAAATTGTTTTCAACCGAGTATTTCCATACCAAGAAAGAGTAGATGGCTTCTTTGACTTTCTCTCGTTGATCTGTAATCCATACTGAACTGAAGTTATTTAATTAATTGGGTTTAGAGTCCGGATGTATTTGAAATAATTATTGAATCTCTACTTGAAATGGAGTTGTCCAATCTGTAACGTGAAACAAATTATTCTGAGTGATTATGTGAATTTTAAAGTCATAATAGACTATCACAAACACTCATTGTTTCGCATAGAATATTACAGAAATTGTTTAATAATAATTATGATATTGTCATCAGGTGGGATGATGGAGGTTGTGTTAGATCAGGGACAATTTCCTTTCTTAATTAGCCCCCGAAGGTTATTATATTTTTTAATATTTTATGGTAATAGTGGTGCCAGGTTGTTCTTTGAGGCCTGTAACCACTACGTCCATGTCGTGGCCTCGGGTAACGCTAAAGTGGTCATTAAATAAATTAATTGTCGAAATTTAATTAATTTGGAAAAATAAAACTAAATTGCTTCGAGGATCGGTTTAATGTGCGCATGCGCTCCCCCTTTCCGATCGTCTCGATACCCCCCACCATGCTCAGTTAATGAATAACAACAACTACTATAACCACAGAGCTCAGTCAGTAACATGCACTCGCTCTATGCACACTGTTAAACTTGAGGTTGATGAAGTACATATTTCAAATAGATTCAAATAGAATTGAAATTTAGAGAGAAAAAATTTCGATTCGCCCAGCCGGGATTCGAACCCGGGTCTCCCAGTTACGCGCCGGGCACTCTTACCGACTAAGCTACCGGGAACCACGGAAATTCTCACTCCAAATTCAACTCAGCACGCCGCCTAACCACCTTTAGGCATTAAATAAATTCAAATAGATTTACCAGGGAGTCTTATTGTGCTCGACTCGTGATTCAATCGCTGACGACGACATTTTCCAATTTTCAAGTAACTATTTAAGTGTGCATTGGAAATTTTGCCGAATACATATCGGCAGATGTATCTTGGCGACCACACGCATGCGTCGAGGAAATATCGGTCGCGAACCAATCTCTCGAATTATTCTTATTTTTTTTTTGCATTATCTCGGCTCGGGATATGAAAAAAATAAGAAGGGGGTGAAATATAGAATAAAATAGAACATTCGTATTTTTCAGGCTCACCGGGAGTCCGGGGGCAGGAGACATTAAAGCCACGGAGATTAGGGATGGAAATGGAATCTTATCAATGAAATACGTGCGTCTACGCATCTTCCACATGACATGGAAGATGATAACACACATAGACGCGACGGAATTTCTAAGGATAAGACAGGACTTTGTCATGCAATGGCCAGGCTGAGTCAGGCGTGCTCGGAGCTGAAAAAACAATGCACCTTAGCACCCCAATTAGAAACTATAAAATCACTAGACGCACTATACGAGATACATAGCCACATACGGGAATCTCTAGCAGACAATCATCAACGGTCAAAACGAGCACCTTTCGGATTCATAGGAAAAAATAGCAATACCCTTTTTGGTACGATAGATGAGGACGATGCAGATTATTATGACGTACAAATAGAATCTCTAAAAAATAAAACTAGCGAGACATTGGCCCTTCTGGCACACCAAACGCACATTAGCCGCTCAGAATTCGAGAGAATACGATCGGAAGTCCGTCGGTTTGATGAGACAATAAAAATGCTTAATCAGACACTGCACACAGTAATTGGTAGCTTAGAGAATCAACTGGAGGAAATTAAAATTAACGAGAATTTAGCCAGCCTATTGGCCGCTCTAGATGGAGAAATAGGACAATACTATGTAGATACACAGATTTTAGTTAATGCCAGTCTATTTGCCAGAAAGGGAGAGTTTCATCCGGCCATTCAACCCGCCAAAAACCTCATTAAAGTCGCAAAGGAAATTTTGGAGCAAAACAAAGGGGTGGAAATACTGGCCCCTTTGGAAGTATTGCACGTGGGGGAAATAATAAGACTAGTGGATTTGGCGGCATATGTCCACAAAGACAAAATCGTTTTTAGACTAACATTCCCAGTGGTGGGGCTTAGGAAATATACCGTTTATAAACATCTAACCCTACCAATAAAAATCGCGAATTCAACCATGTCTACTGTGGCATTCATTATCCCGAGTTATCCGTACACCACCATCTCAGAACACTCAGATACCTATTTTAAACTCGACAAGGAGTATCTGGACTTATGCAAGAAGAGCCCAAAAGCCCTCATATGCAGGGCGGATAGGGGTCATTTGGTTCAAAAACAATTCGTCCAATGACATTTCGTCCAAAATCACTTCGTCCAAAAATTCATGTCGTCCAAAAATCACTAGATTTAAAAATCATTTCGTCCAATTAGTAATACGTCCAATTCGGCCCAGATTAAACGGCATAAACACACCATAAACACAGGTAAATACAAACACAAACCCGAGAAACTCAAAACCAATTATCCATTGATAACGACACCAAATCAGATTCACGTACACGCAAGCAACGTACAAACCCAGTACAACAGTGCCTTTAGAACTGCTATCGGAGACAGATCAAAATTTAAATTCGCGCAATAAACGAAAAACCTAGTGTCTAGTGATCGAAGGAGAATGAAATAAAAGTATAAAAAAACCCAGACAATTGAATTTTTATGGACAGTTCACGATGGATATGATGATGATGATGATGATGATGATGATGATGATGATGATGATGATGATGATGATGATGATGATGATGATGATGATGATGATGATGATGATGATGATGATGATGATGATGATGATGATGATGATGATGATGATGATGATGATGATGATGATGATGATGATGATGATGATGATGATGATGATGATGATGATGATGATGATGATGATGATGATGATGATGATGATGATGATGATGATGATGATGATGATGATGATGATGATGATGATGATGATGATGATGATGATGATGATGATGATGATGATGATGATGATGATGATGATGATGATGATGATGATGATGATGATGATGATGATGATGATGATGATGATGATGATGATGATGATGATGATGATGATGATGATGATGATGATGATGATGATGATGATGATGATGATGATGATGATGATGATGATGATGATGATGATGATGATGATGATGATGATGATGATGATGATGATGATGATGATGATGATGATGATGATGATGATGATGATGATGATGATGATGATGATGATGATGATGATGATGATGATGATGATGATGATGATGATGATGATGATGATGATGATGATGATGATGATGATGATGATGATGATGATGATGATGATGATGATGATGATGATGATGATGATGATGATGATGATGATGATGATGATGATGATGATGATGATGATGATGATGATGATGATGATGATGATGATGATGATGATGATGATGATGATGATGATGATGATGATGATGATGATGATGATGATGATGATGATGATGATGATGATGATGATGATGATGATGATGATG